GCCGATTAATCGATGATTGAAAAAGTTGACAACTTTTTCAATAATCGATTATAATCGATTATGTCGATTAGTTGTTGCAGCCCTAGTATCAAGCCCCATGACACATTCCAAAACTCGCATATATATGTTCCGGAAGCAAACCTTTGTTTTCTTAATAAAGCTATAATTTTCTCTCCCCCCCCCATTATTCTCTTCAGCACAAAGAAATTTTTTTGAAATCTATATCCCTTCGATTTTTTTATTTCTTTATTTATTGTTAGAAAGGGGCTTGTGTTGAATTGACAAAAAAGTTCTTACAGAATTGTCAAGTAATGTGAGTCAGTCTTTGTGGCACGTGTACAATGTTATTAGGCACATTTTGTGTCCCATTTCAATTTCCAAAGGTTTTTTTCTGTTTTTGCTTTGATTTCATAATCCTAAAAAACAATGCATGAGATCTTCCGTGATTGGATGAGAAATGTAAGAGGAACCATTAGGGTATGTGCGCTTGTAAGTGTAGTCTGCCATTTAGTCTGCTTTGATGCCATGTATTTCAGTGGATAGAAATGAAGTCACTAGGTTGTAAAGTCTACTTGAAAGTAATTTTTTAATTAACTTTTTCCTTTTTTTTTTATTACATTGTGACTTGGAAGTATAAAGAACACATATTGACCCTACATATCTGTGGGTCAGTTTTAACCATGTGTATGTATGCCACAAGGATTTAATTATAAGAGTAGAAAAACCCCACTGGAACAGCTAAGTATGTAGTGTGATGAACAGGCATATGCAAAATTAAGCATTTTAAGGGCCATGATCCTGCAGCCATATAAAGGCGTTTCTTGAAGTAGCATAATATGCAGCTTAAGTTTAATAGTCAAAAATAAAAGATCGTTTGATCCTAGTATTAGGGCAGCAGACATTCCAGGATGAATGTTTAAAGCTGTCATTAACAGTATAATACAGATATATCAGAATTATATTCTGACCATCAGGAAGAGATCCAGGATTGACCCCAGCACAGTTATCGTGCATGTCATCCATGTATAATGTATAAGAACTTTTGGAAAACAAAGTTGTGCTGTGTTTGAAACCAAAGGGGAGTGGGTAACCAGTGAAAATCAGTTCCGCTCAACAAACATAAAGCCTGTGACCATAGGTAGTGGCAGTCCTGTTACTGTGAATATTGGAATAACTTCTTAAATGCCAAGAATGTCTACCTGTAGTAAGACTATCAGGCAGGGTAGGTACAGCAAGAAATTAAACAAGTTCCTAACCCTAACGCAAAAGAGATCAGAGAGAGAGAGAAAAGTAGTTGCATTCCCTGTTAGGTCTCGTTCACACCTAGGCGTATTGCATATGCGCGTCTGTCGCGCGTTTTTTTTACCGCGATTTCCGAAGGCTACTTGGCTGTATCCCAATTAAAACGCGCAACAAAACAGCCCAAAGTAGTACATGTACCTTTTCAGGCGTGGGCCGTTTTGTAGCGCGTTAGGGACGGGCGGAAATACGCCAAGGTGGGAACGAGACCATTGAATACAATGGGATTTATATTTTTGAGCGTTTTGTAGAGCGTTCGTCGAGCGTAGAACACGCTACAAAACGTTCAGGTGTGAACAAGGGCTAAAGCAGTAGTGCTGGTCAGATAAATATCTAACAGCCAACACCGCAGTAAAATCAGTGAGTTGGGAAGCACAGAAGGAGCATGATGTCAAAACAGGTCTGCATTATGGCAGCCACCCTTATAGGTTATTGTGGGATGTAAATTCCCAAGATCTCACCAGAGAGCTGACTCAGAAGTCCACAGGCTCAGCAGTTTAGTAGAATAAGGCATAAGAGTCATCCCCGTGGGTGCAGGAGCATGAGTGGTATAAGAGCAAGAAAGGAGCTCTGTGTCCTCCAGAACCACAGTATGAAATATAAGCAGATCTGCATAAGCATACAACCGTTTCTGCATTATAGTATAGGAAACCTCTTCAGAGGTAAACATGCCCATTTTTTGTTCCATGGCAACTTAAACGTATGGGTAAATTACAATAGCATTGTTGTTGTATTAATGTTCTTTCATAGATTTGGCTGCTTTAAGAATATTATCCTCATCTTGGGAATGCAGTATGAAGACTATGAGTATTCTCGTAGGGGCGGTGTCCACATGAGGGCTCTTTTGTGCATGCTCAATGGTGAATAAAATGACAGAATACAGTTGCATGACTTCCTTTAGCCACTTTTTTCTAAAAAGTCCTCAGTATTTTTGCTCTCTCATCCCTCAGGAAAGCCAAAAAATCTAATATTATTCTGCTTTAGGCAGTCCTCTATAGCTTCCAATTTGTTATATTGGTCAGAGAGTTATTTATGAGTATTTCTTCTATCCACATTAAAGGGTTGCACATTATTTTCTAGATCACCAATCCTCTGTTAGTTAGGGTAATGTTTCCTTCATATTTTGCATGTCTTGTTTGAGAAAGATCAAGTCCACATTAATACTATCAATATGAGCAGCTAGGGTAGCCTGGCAATGTTGTATAGCAGTCGTGATCTGTGTCGGAAAAAGCTCTTTCTCAGCAGCATGTGAATCCTCCTCCATGGGAGTTGTGGTAGCTGGCACTGAGGGATTGTCTTCAGGTTTAGAGCGCTCCCTCTGATTGCAGAGAAGAGGAAACCATACCTGTAGCTTGGTACTGCAGTGCCTCAGCATCAGAGCCTCATGTTTCCGGATGGTGCCATCTTGCGGGGTTATTGCTGGGTGAACTTGGCCAAATGATCCCCTGGGCTTTGTGCAGCACTGTGGCCAAGTTTGAACATGGCTGTGGGTGAGGCAGAGAGAGCAATTGTTCCAGCAGCATTGGCAGAAAGGATGTCCAGAACTTGGCAGGTTCACATCAGGATGATACAAATGTCAACACTCGCCATCAGTGCTGCTTACACCCGCAAGTCCGGCTCCATCCCCTCACTTTATCATTTTTACTTCTTCCTTTTTCCATTGTGCCTTGTCATATGACTTTGTAGGGTATTCTGCTGTATTTTAAGGTAATGCAGTACCCATACTTGTTCAGATTTATTTTGTAAACAAGTATGTAATTGATCATATTTACTATTCAGTGAGTCATCATTGGTCTGAGCTTGACCCATAGATTTGGTTTGACATTAGAGGAAAAGTACAGTAGTTAAACTGCATCATCATAGGCAAATATGGATATCCTAATGTTCGTATTTTTAATAGACTAATTCAAGGCAACAATGTTTGCCTGATGAAGGGACCCTATGTGGCCCCAAAACATTGTTCGCTTTGTGATCATGTGAACATGCTTCAATAAAAGACATGCTTGCATCACTATTAGAGTGCTGGTGACATTTCCTGATCTTTATTATAGACTAAAAAATATGGCTAAGAAGCACTATCCAATCGTTAAAACTTGAGGCTGATTGACTGGACATTTATATACCCTTAAAAGAATCAGATTTGTTTTTGGCATGTCAAGCACGTTTCCACTGACAGTTTATAAGAATACCCAATATCTTGAAGCAAGCTTTTTGTGTACACTACCTGCCAGTAGTTTGTGTAAATAATGGAAAATGCCTGCTCTGGCAAGCAAAGTCATTAAAGGAGATCTTAAATACATTTTATACCAGAACGATCATTTTAAAGAGATAGTCCACCTGGTGTATAATCTTGCTAGATGCTGGCTGATTAAAAAGTACATTAGCCTATTCTTATCTCTTGGGTAGCTTAAGAGCAAAAAGGTTGAGCTCTTACGTTTAAAGTGTATAGTTAATTTCTTAAGTATTTGAACTTGGTCAACTGTTTTAGTTGTTATGTTTTAGGGTTCGGGTGCAGTTTGGGTATAGTTGTCTAGTTAAGAGTAAGGTTAAGATTACGAGTTAGAGATGTGTGTGAAAATACTTAAGCACTGGGTTCTTGGTACCGATAACCAAATACAGAAAAATACTAACCCTGTATCTACCTGTCATTAAGAAACATAAGGATTGCCATTTCTGTCCCCCTTTTGAGAATGCCTACCTGTGTCCAGCTTCACTTTTCCTGAGTCACTGATGCAGAGCAAGCATGCACCAATAGTCCGTAATCTTATTACTGGGTCAGTTACTCATGGTACTGAAGACAAAGCATGAGTATTGAGGATGAATGCCAACAAACATGCATTTTTATGAAAAGAGACAACAATGAAAGTGTACATATTTTGTCATGGCAGGTTTCTTTTAAAATATTTGGACAGCTGGGCCTGGAGTGAATTTGTGCTTTGCCTATGCAGGGCGAAGCAACAGGTTTAAACTAATGTGCCTTGCCCCAGCAGCACATACTGCCCTTTATTTCACTCCATTCATCTGCCGTCCTGGGTAAGCTTAAGTCATAAGTTGCTCTAGTTGGAGCTTACACAGAGTTGATCCTACTTTATACCTGGAAGTGCAGGGTATTTCTCTTTGCTCCTAGCAGGGAAAAAAGAGAGTATATGCATTGGGGCACCAAGGTGAACCTGTTGTGTTTGCCCTCCATATGCAAAGTACTGCTCTGCTTTAAGGTGGCCATACTTTGCAAATATCAGAACCTACCGAAATTCACAGTAGCTGCCTCTGTTGGCACCCTTTCGGCTGGCATCCCTGAATCAGCTGATCGAAGGAGCTGGTCAGAAAATCTTTGTACCAACAGAGCCAGTAGCCTATGAGCTGCTGGCTTTGTTCGGGTATTCTGACAGTGGCTGGCAGCCGCTGTCAGAAATAAAACATACAGCGGGGATTCCGTGATCAATGCGCTCGTAGCATTGATGGAGGAATCTGCTCTATTTATTTAACAATAGAGCAGTGTATGGCCAGCTTTAAACACAGAGATCTTGGCACTAGAACTGCTGCAATAAAGTGAGAGGTGTTCTGTGTGAGTACCGCAAAACAAAATATCAGTTTTATTGGACTGACCTTTTTAAAGTGAAATTTGCGAGTTGGCACAGGTAGTCGATTGAAATAAGTGATTCTATGAAACATTGACAATTTTGTCCTTTGTTTACATGCAGCAAGGAGTTATGGCAGAAGACGAGGTAATCAATTTATCTATTTATTACTAAAGCTGAATTAACAATTGTTCCACCTGATCGATTCCACTTGTCCCCTCCCTTTCCTCAATCAAAATTCCCTAGACACAACTTCTATGAATCATATGCTTATATTAACATACAAATTGATTACTAATAGAATGTTTTATCAAATCTGAACCTTTCACATTTGATCATGATTGATCTTGTTTAATGTTAAATGGCTTACCTATGTGACCCTCCATTTTTATTTAATATGTATAGACTTTTTTTCAAAAATTCGGTCATGTTTATATGTGTACTTGTGTGCCATTATTGCAATATCGAACACCGTGACTCAAGAGAATTCAGAAACAAACTCTTGTATTATGCTGCTTCCATTAAAATAACATATACATGTATAGCTTCCAATAGGCATAACTAAAATCCACAGTGACCTGGTGCAGAATGTGTTCCATTTATTTACATACCATTACCCGCTTCCCAGCTCTTATCCATGTGCATGGAGCAAACCCAGCAAAACTTAATATCGGTGTTCTTGAAAGGAACCCGTTGGGCTAGATATGTGGATGCTTCCATTGCTGACTTCTTTTTCAAGGTGTAAGTCCAGGGCTGCCATCCTTGTTATTGCTTCACCAGTGGGTAAATCATTGGCTTGGGACACGCATTAGTCTATTAGTATAACAGGTGTCTTGAGCATGCATCATAACCAAACCAGCAATGGCAGCTCCCACATTTCTGTCCTGATGTGTTAGTTTTCCTTGTTGAAAGTAAAACCCAGGAATTTGGTTTGTTCAGTAAACTGCAATGGTGATCTGAAAGGAATTGTAAGACACTAGCGACCAAATTTCTGAAAGCAGATCCCTGAAAGATTAAAATGTATGTCAAGTCAAAATATGTTTTCCCTTCATTTGCTGTCTTACAGATGCATTGGAAAATGAGAGGAAATCTTAGTTGTCATAGAACAAGCATACCCATAGGAAGATTTCCCTTTATCCTCCTCCTGGTGGAAACTTAAATTTTTGGCTTTTCCCTAATTTTCAGTTCTGTTAATAATGGTCACCAGGAAAAATTAGGGTTTATCTCCCTATTGGAAACACAGCAATAAGAACCTCAAAGGATTGCTAACCCCTCACTACTCTATCCAAAATGTAAAAAAACGTTTTGTATTTGGATACACATTTAAAGGTTACTGCACTTTGCACAGTGCTCAGGATGAGCCTGGTGGTCACACACATAATAATCTGATTAAATAATTGATCAATTAATGTGACTAAACTGGTTCAAATTGAATTAAAATTGCAAATGGACTCTCCATCTGATCTATTTTAATGAGATTTAGACGCCATGTCAATCAGCTGTTATGGAATCGTGTCTGATTTATTTGAATACATATCTGTTGTCTGCTGGAGAACTAATTGTAATTCAGATCGATGAAATTATATATTGTGAATCATTTACTTTTATAACTGATCATATTTTAGAACTATACCACGTGTTGTATGGTACAATATTTTAATAGATCACTTCAATAGATTGCGATCGCTTGTGCCTAAATTGATCACAGATTGCTTATGGCTACCTTGATGTTGTCATTGTAGAACAAGCTAATGATGATGCAGACTTTCCTTGCTGCAGTTTATCTAGATGTCCTTAGCAGCAGTTCATAGAAAGGACTCATCCCCTTACTATGTAACAGATTGCAGAAACCACAATGTCTGATTGCTTGCTATTGAGGGATTGCTATTCCAGTCCTCGCTTGCAGTCTTTGTATGCTTACAACACCTTCTGGGTTGTAAATTTAGCAGAACATGTTTTTCTGGCATTAAGCATTTGCTTGGGAAGACATTCTTGTTCGGCAACCCTGGTGCAGCTGGTTAGTCGCTTACAGTCAGGGTGTATGTTGTTGGGTCAGGGATTTGTGAAATTCTAGCCCCACCTGCTTCAGCCAAAGCTGCCCAACAAATGGCTACATAAAATACTTGTCCTAGGTTCGGATGTGTGCAACGCTTCAGATTCCTCTCTGGCTTTACGTCAGTTCTAGCTGTTGGAATCCTTTGGAAGCGTTTTATTTTCAGAGAAGGAGAGCTGCATCTGGTTTCAGTTATGAAATCCTTTTCCAATTCAGCTAGTGTACTGAAATCTGTACTTATAACACATTACTATGTCACACTTGAATGTTGACAGCATCCTTGCAGTGTGCCTGCATTGTAAGGCAAATAGGGTGGGAGAAGAGGTAATGTTACCAAAAGCGCAAATCACAGGTTTGCGTTGAGCTAGAATTCTACTTGTGTAGGTGGAAGCTGGCATCATGTGAATTTAGTTGGCAGTGATCTTCTGACAACTAAATACTTCCCTTGCAGTGGGGGAACTGCAAGGGTTAGGTGCTTGTTTTTCTCTAGGGGATGGGATAAAGTGGATATACTCACCTGATCCTCTGTCCCACGGCAGTTAGCACTCACCTCTCTCCTCCCCTCCGCACAAGCTGTTGAATGTCCCTTGGTGTCAGTGGTGTCCCAAGACTTTTTGCCGCGGGAGGGGGTGTTGCATGACAGATGCCACCCTCTGCGGATGTGGGACACACTGGCCTGCATCCTGCCCAGCTCCTGGCAACCAGTGACATCAATTGTTGCCAGTAGCTGAGCGGGACACTGGCCAATGCATCCCAGGCTGCAAAGAGCTTGACAGGGAGATGTGTATGGCCCAACTCTTAGCAACCTGGGACGCTCTGGCCGGAAAGGGGGCGGCATTGTGCCACTATACAACAAACATTCTGCTCTGCTTGCTACTCCCTTACCACACGTGACCCAAAGAGATGCTGCCTGAGGCAACAGCCTCAGGCTTCCTCATTGGAGACAGCCCTGCTTGGCATTCCCATGTTAATGCAAGTTAATAGACCTATTTTAGACTTGATGATGTCAGTGGTCCTTAGACAACCAGAGGCCACGGGAAAAAAGTACATATGCTTTATTACATCTACGTAAAGATAAATGAGCACTGAACCCTAGCAGTGTAGCCCCACTACATGTCAGTTTTTAAAATTCCTGGATTTCTTCTTTTAGAAGCTCTTTTGTTAATAGATTTTAAATTACTGTGAAAACCCCTCAACAACGCTAATGATTACTGTATCCTCTAATGGTCAAAACATTCACAGAAACATTCTGATCCTGTCACATGTACTCTTTGGGAGAAGATGCTGTTGTAAGAATCCCTCTCCAGGCAAGTCATTGAAACTGGCAGCAGTTTTATGGCTTGGGTACTTTCTGTGGAACTGACTGGATGACCTATACTGATTAGGAGATCTTACTACACCCTGACCTTTCAACCTGCATGCTTGTTCCAGGTCACCGACTTAGAAGCTATTAAAATGAGAGACAGCCAGGAGACGATGATGGAGCCAGGAGACTTTCTCTTAAAAGTACATCACCAATGACAGTTCCCATATTTGATCTACTACAGGTTTCCTTTACGGACATGGCTGTCTTTGCACTAGGCACCCCTTGCATGTTTGTGCTTCTTAGACTGTTCAAGTTTACATTAAGCTCACTATTAGTCCTTTAGTAGGATAGCGTCTCCGAGGAGGTCTGATATGGCTAGAGTGCGGTCTTTCTAGCAGTGGCTCAGCTGGCCTTTAGGGGGTGGCACTATGATGGCTAATGACCCCCAAAGGTCTTATGGGTAAGGGGTTGCAATGAGGATGCAGATATTGACAGGAATTTACTTGTTGGGCATGTCCTTTTAAAGAAAATACTTTGTTGTTTACCAAAGCCTATTTCTTCCTTTTAATCAAGCAGTTCAAAGTCCCATTCAAACATCTGATTGTTTTTAATATCTTGTTAAAATTATATCTTGGCATTTATTAAAATGCTTACTGCTTCAACACCACACCATTTGGAAGCTGAGATTTATGGCCTCCTTTGTAGTAAAAGCGTCCCTCTTGATTTAGTGTAATGGAGATTTCAGGTGAAATGTAATTGAAAGCTGTAAAACTGGGTTCTGCTGTTGCATTTTCTTAAGTGCTTCATTAACCTTTTCAAGGAGTGATGTGTAATGTATTGCTCACTACAGCATTTGAGCAACCGAACCCTTTGCTGTTTTCCCTGTTTTCAGTCTCTTACTGTACTCTAATTGTACTATGGACTGTTTTTTGGGGGGGTTTTTATTGCTTTTCCAGGTATTTGAGCATTTATCTTGACCAACTACTTTTCTCTAAATGGCAAGGAAATACTAAGAGGGAATACCACAATCCGAGCAAAGGATTTTATTAAGGCATTGATTGGACACCCTAGGTCTTCCCAATGTGTGACATCCTTTGGTGGCTAGTAAGAGGGTCTTCTAGAAAACCTTATTTCAAGCCTGTGTTTGCAGATTGGGTGTAATAAAATATGTTGTATTGTTACTGTGCATTTCTATGAATATTCAGAAAGTCATTGTTAATGCCCTTGGTCCCCCATTTCAAATAATAAAGTTGTACTTGTACACTTGGCTTTTGGCTCACAGGTGAACCTTGCACTGCATTTCCATGGATTTCTTTAGCCACATACACTGCATTGCTCCATTTTCTGTGTTGTCACTTGCAAGATTTTCATGCATGATGTGCATAACTTTAGGGCATGCAGAGGGGCAGCTGCTTATGGGCTCAAAGTCCACTGTAGCTATGAACATATCACAGTCCTCCTCTGCTCCTTCATGATTGGCCTTCTGGCCTTTTTAGTAACTTGACGTTGGTTATTTTAAGGAGGCACCAGAAACAAGATACTTCCCAATTTACCTTTTAGGTCGATTGGCATATCTGATCTTCATACTAGCAATCCGTGATGCAGTTTATTTTATTGTACAATATGGCTTCCTGTACTGCCGATCTAAAGGTGTAGTCTGTTTTTTTAATATTTTTGTCAGTTCAAAGTGTTTTGTTTGCTAATGACATGATCTGTTTACGTATTGTTTTTTTCTGCGGTCACACCTTTTTGTGGCAACCCTGATTTATTGTGATTGTCGGCAATTTTTTTTTTTTAGGTTTTTTTTAAACAGTTTAGTAAATCAATATTACTTCATTGATGGCAATATTCATCCAAGAAATGATGGCATTAAGCAACATAAAATTTCATGAAAGATATTCATTTGATATAATAAAACAACCTATGCAAACTGGATATTGTTTTGCAGCAACCTCATAATTTCTCCTTATTCACGGCAGGTCGCTCTTCCCTGTTCCCGATCGATGACAGCTTGCTTGATGATGGGCATAATGACCAAGTCGGTGTTCTGAATTCTCCAAACTGCTATTCTGGACATCAAAACGGGGAAAGAATTGAGCGTTTCTCGAGGAAAGTATTTGTCGGTGGCCTTCCACCTGATATAGATGAAGGTGAGTCGACTGTCTGAATACAGTGTTCATTATACCAGTACAGTGCTAGTCATTTCAATGACCTATCACAATATTGCAATTCATATTATTGAAGTGTAAGGCCACTCAAAATGCATTGGCTATATGTTTGAAGGTGATTCTGAAGGCCTATGTGATAGTGGAGATTTTGTAGCAACTACAAAATTGTTCTCCTTCGCATGCTTGTTGCTAGGAAAAATACATTGAAGTCAATGAACAGTATGTTTTGCAGATATTTTAAGTGAATTATACTTTAGTTGCTGGGAGACTGATTTTTTTGCAGCGTATTAGAATCACCAGCTTCAGTAGCTTTTCATCCAATGCGGCTGCTGATGACCATGGCACACCACCTGCAGCTTATACAATGAAAGCCTTGTTACATTCAATAATAGCTTAGAGTCTGAAATAACAAAAGCTTTTTTTTTCCCCCTCTGTGTTTGATCAGATGAGATCACTGCCAGTTTCCGTCGCTTTGGCCCCCTGGTGGTTGACTGGCCACACAAGGCAGAAAGCAAATCTTACTTTCCACCAAAAGGTAAGTTACAGGAATAGCAATCATTTTGTAAACCCCTTAGACCAGTGATGGCTAACGTCACTGTACCCGAGTGCCCAAACTGTGCCCTGAAAGTGCCGACACTGAAAAAAAGTTTGGTATTGCGTTGCAGTTTGGGCACTGAGGCTTAAAAAATGTTCAGCATCACTGCCTTAGGCAAAATAGGGAAACAAACATTTATACACTCAGTAAAACACACACATCACACACGTAATGAAACTGACACAAAAAATCACACATATCACACACTCATAAAAAAAACCACACGTGCACACACACATTAAACACACACACATCTCGCACATATCTCACGCTCATTAAAAAAACACACGCATTAAAAAAACACACATCGCACACTAATTTAAAAAAAACACACACATTAGAAGCCTCACACATGTATTGAAACACACGTAATGAAACAATACAAATAAATGATTATAAAATTGCCCCCTCTCCTGCTTACATGTTTTGCAGGGAGGGGGCTGCATCCCTGGGGTTCAGTGGGGCACTATCCTGGTGGTCCATTGGAGGATCAGTGTTATCTGTATCTCTGGCTGATGCAGACCATACTAATCGCTCCTTCCTGTGAGCAAGGGTACCACGATGGTGCGATCAGTATTGTCTGCATCAGCAAGAGGTGCAGATCATTCTGATCCTCCACTGGGCCCCCACGGGTTGATTTTTATTTAATATATTGCCGGTTCAGCAATATATTAGATAGGATCTGTGCACCTGCCAGGTTTAAAGATGGCTGCCGCTTTTTGCAGCAGCCATCTTTAAAAACGTAATGTGACTTGGAGATCCCTCGAACATCGGAGGCCCGCATGGAGAACCCCAAGTGAGAACCTGGAGTGTCCGGGCCCTGGCAACCCGCACCTAGACCTGCATGCCACCAGAGGGGCCCTCTGCGAGCCCTCTGTGGCATGCGTGCCATAGGTTCGCAATCACTGCTCTAGATGCTGTGGGTGCTATTGCTAAATGCTAAATTTACATCGAGGTCAAAAAAAAAAAAAGCTTTTATTTTAATTTTTAAACCTAACTCCCATTGAAGTTAATGAAGCCAAAAATGTGCTTCTCTGCCCCAAAAAAGCTAATGTACTTTTGGTGTAACAAGGGACAGCATGACGCTGAGATGTGAATGGGCACCATTGAATATTAAGGGAATCGTTCTCCAGAAAATGAGCGATAAATTGCTCAGGTGTGAATGGGGGCTTATAAATTCCACAACTTGTGATTGGGTGTTTAAAATGAACACTGTTTCACTGAACCCTGCCCCTCTCACCCAAGTGTGCAAGACTGTTTGAGTCCAGAGATAGCAACTACAAAAACCTGTGAATGTTAAACAACAGACAGTTTCTGCACTTTATTTAAATAAACAGTTTGTTAATCATCTACCTTGCAAAACAGTATCAACCATCTTTCCAGGGTGGTCTGCAGAGCTGATCCTAGGTGCAAAGTCCAGAGCTCTGCTTCCACCCTGGAAAGTGATCTGGTATTTTGCATCCACGAAATGCCCATTCGTGAAGTTGTGTGACACAGTATTTGAATAATCTGTACAAACCTGCAGCCGGCTGGCTTACTGCTTATTTTGAGCTCTCAAGTTAAAAATAACCAATCCTTGTGGCCTTTTCAAGCTGCTGGGTACTGGACAGCTGCAGACTCTGTAGAACTGTGACCAGGGAAAACATTCAGCTCAGCCTTATGGACAGAAAACAACATTGATGACATTTGTTTTATTGGGACAACTGATTAATATTAATAGTTTTTAATTAAGTTCATAGTTGACATAAACTTAGTGTTATTTTTTTGCCAAATAACCTGAATCGGAGCTTGTTTATAAAATACAATAACATTTTTGGTAAAAAAAAGTATTGTTTCCCATAGTAACCATAGTTTTTTTAACCTGCCCTTAAAATCTCAGACTTCTGATGGTAAACTTCTGCAACTTCTCTTCATCCAGATTTCATTTATCGACCACATTGGTCTTTGGCAGTTGATGTGCAAAGCCAGAATACCTTGAACTGTAAGGCCTCATTCACACTGATAAGAGCCGGCCCGTACAGATCCGTGCGGTGTGCACGGCCCTATCGGGCCGCTCTTGGGAAGGACAGGTGCTGCGTGTGATTTGTACTCAGCAGCCTGTTCTTCTCTATGGGAGTACGCCGCTGTACGCTCACCCGAACTGCACATCCGTGCTGGTGTCTGTGTTCGGACGCAGAGGATCCATCCTGTCTGCGTGTGAGTACGGACACCCGCAAGGAATGTGCAGTTCGGGTGAGCGTATAGTGGCGTACTCCCATAGAGAAGAACAGGCTGCTGAGTACAAATCACACGCAGCACCTGTCCTTCCGGGGAGCGGCCCGATACGGCCGTGCACGCCGCACGGATCTGTACGGACCGGCTGTTATCAGTGTGAATGCGGGCTTAGTCATCTCTCTCAGTTATACTGTGTTAATACGCTCAAATCATGTTGACAACTTCAAACTACAAAGGTGTGGCCCCATAAAGGCACAGCTTTGTAGCATTGGCAGCCCTTTCAAAATGAATGGGTTGCCTTTCCACAAAGCACATTACTGCAGGACATAAGACACGTTATGGATAACACGGCAAAGATCTGAATCAGGTCAAATAGCTATCAGTGTGGATCAGTGGTGTCTTCCAAAAGTGTCTCCATTTCTCATAATGGAGAAAGTATGTCCTCCCTGCACGCATCCCATAAGAGGTGTTTATGTCATTGCTGCCTCTTCGGGAGGGCTGTGGGCTGCACTGTTAACATAAAAAGTTTAGGCGAGGCACTGTGCTAAAGTGGATAGTTTTTCTCACAGGTGTCCTTTCATTCTCCAGAGAAGTCCTAAAATTAGAGAGTTCAGTTTGTATGATCCCACCCACCGTAGAGTGTATTTTTATGTGTCGGTGTTTATTGATTGATAGGGACAGTGTAAATTTTGTGCAGCGACTGATGTGAATTCTGAAGCTGTACACAATGTGTATGTACACCTCGTTTTGTATGGGTTGTATAAATCTGTCCCACTTTTGTTGTATCAGAATATTACTTCAATTTTGTATATTTTTTTCTTCCTCTGTTGTAGGTTACGCGTTCCTTCTTTTCCAAGAAGAAAGCTCCGTTCAGGCTCTGATTGAAGCCTGCATTGAAGAAGACTCTAAACTCTATCTGTGTGTCTCTAGCCCAACTATCAAAGACAAGCCTGTAAGTAGAAACGCAGAGCCTCATTTATCATTGTTACTGCAAGGAGGAAACTGCTAGTTACCACCTGACACCACTCGTGTTCTCCACTGCATTCCCCCAGTGTAGTATGTGAGAATCACATTGTAAGGCAGGATCTATAAGAAATGTGCAATTTTTGTCTTGTTCATTATGTCTGAACAAGACTCCTACAGTTTTTTGTAGGTTTTCAATGGTATGCATGGTTCCATTTAGAGAACCCTTACTGTGCTGCTCACAACAGTTTTTTCAAACACGAACTGGAAAATCTGTAGCAGCAAGACAGACAGTTTTGCTCGTTTAGGGCAAAGTGACAGCTTCTTCTTAGAGCACATGTGTCAAACTCAAGGCCCAGGGGCCAAAGGGTCCTAGACTTCTACTTTCAGATCTAGGTATTAAGTTATTACTAAAACCAATGATAATCGAATGCAGATGCAATTATGATAAATATTAGATACACTTATATAGTCTTAAAGGCCCTTTGAGGGCAACCATAATGTTGATGCGGCCCTCTATTAAATTGAGTTTGACACCCCTGTCTTACAGCATCTATTGTACCCAATCCACCAACCACAATATATGGACTAACCCTTCATTGGGAATCTAGTCTGCTTAAAGGATAATGACACTTTTGGAACACATTAGAAACTTTGCCAACTATAATATCTCACCTCTGAATTTCTTCCCGTGCTCTAAGATCTGTCATCATTCTTATTCAATAGCGTTCCGTTGCTTGGAAGAAATCTATACCAATAGGAATGTCCAGGGTGTAATTGTTGATCTCTTCTTCTGAAATTGCTGGTCATCTTGATCCAATAAATGTAGTTGTCTGAGTCATTATAATGGAACAAGCATGCAGATCAGGAGTTCTGACCAGCACTCCAAGTTTACTTGATGTATGCCATCAGGCCAGGCACATTTTCAGGGGGAGGCCAGCAACAACAAGTCTTAAAAAGGGAAAAACAGGTTGTAATGTATCATCTATGACTTGGTATGACCCTCATATGTACAAGGGGTTCCTTAGCTCAGTTTTAAAGGATAGCTTTACGCTTAGTACAGTTCTATTTTAACTGATCCTCCCCCATACCTAAGTCTTATACCAGTTTGTCCCATCTCAGGCCAGATCTTCCATACCAGGCTGCCCCTGCAGTGTATGCGCAGAAAATTTGCATTCATTCTGATGGAGAGAAGATTGCCACCACACAGCAACAGTACTGTGGAATGGGTCACATAATGGTCCTAGGCACAAAATTATCTGCAGAATTACCTCTGTAAGAGTTAAAGCAATCACTACTGATCTCCTGCGCTGTTTTGAAGGATTCGGTTGGCTTAGTCTAGGTCCATTTTAAGTTATTTAATTATAGTGTTTAAAAAAGCTCCCGGAATTATAACTGGAAATGATAGCAGGAGTAGAATGTATCTCTTAACAATTGGCTCTGTGCTGTCTTTTTGATTATACATTCCTCTAAAGACATTGGGAGGAATTTATCAAAACTGGAGCAGACTGAATCTGGAGCAGTTGCCCATGGCAACTAGTTTGCTCAGGTAAGATTTGAAAATGAGACAACAAAGCTGATTGGTTGCAGTGCAAATCTGCTCCAGATTTTGTCTGCTCCAGTTTTGATAAATTCCCCCCTATGTGTTTGCACAGCAATGGCATAGTTAGTTCAGTGCTTCTGGTCTGTGGCTGTTCTACTTCCTGTTCCTGCTAGTTTACAAATAGCATTAGTTACTGTAGTGGAAGTCCATGGGACTAATTCCATCTATAAATTAGCAGAGACAAGAAGAGTGCGCTCTGCACTCCAGGCATAGTTTTTGAAGGGCATATCATACTTTCCCCGTACTGTCCTTTCAAGCTATATCTCCTGGAGCTCTCCTTTAAGTGGTGGTTCCATCCACAGTATAGTTGAAAATCATGGTTATTGGTAACTTTTTTTAAATTCAATTTATTTGTTTTTTTTTTCCTGATTTAGGTTCAGATTCGTCCTTGGAACTTGAGCGACAGTGACTTTGTGATGGATGGGTCACAACCGCTTGACCCCCGAAAAACTATATTTGTTGGAGGAGTCCCCAGACCACTGAGAGCTGGTAAGGGTTGTGTGTGTGAATGTGTATGTGGGAAAAAAAGTAAAACTGTTCACATTACCAAAACTAATAGTTGAAATATAAAATAGGCACGTCCTGCTCATGCACCCCCTGCAATGGTGCTCCTAACCTTCCAATATGAAAATCAGTTGTTGGCCAATAAGGCTGCAAAGTATTCTGTATTGCAAGCGGCGACTTCATGTCCTTCCTGGTGAGATCCTGGGAAATGCCCAAGATGATGCTCCAGCACAGGGCAGGAGAGTCTTCTTGCTAGATATCGGATACTCCGCATTCCCCATTATCTCCCCATAACATTACCCTTGTCAAAACGTCCGGAGTAAGGCCATTATATTTGACTTTTTAGGTTTTTGTTTTGTTTGTTTTTTTACATTTGTTGCCTCATTTTGGCTGTGGGGAGGAAAGGTAAATAGGGGAACCTTCAGTTTTTAGTGCAAGGTCTGTTTATTGTTAAAGTGACATTAAACCCTCAGATTTTTTAACATAAACCAATACTGTAATGTGCGCCTTACTGTAATCCATGGTAGTTTCCCTTCTCTTTGCTGCTCTTCCTTTTAAATCCTCATGTCTTCTCATGCTTGGGGAGAACTTCCCTTTTCAGCTCAGGGCCTCTTCCTGTAGTGCTGGCTCAGGTTACAAACCTATACAAACCTATACACAGACACCATATACTGTATCCTTTCCTGAGACAAGGCAGTCTGCTGCAAAACAGAAGTTCTGCAGAGCATGAGAACAGATACAGATTTAAAAGGAAGAGCAACAAAGAGAAGGGAAACAACCATGGATTACAGTAAGGGTTTAATGTCACTTTAAGTATGGTTAATTTTACATTGCATTGCATGACCAATTATAGCACAGCAAACCAACCTACACCCTGTGGGCAAATCTTGTTGCTAAAATTAGATGGGCTTCTCATATAATTTCTAGTTTCAATATTTACATAATAGTGCACCTTTAAACTTAGGCTCGGCGCACAGACATCTTTTACTTTACGTGTTAATAATTTTTTTTTTTCCGTTTTCTTGCAAATACAGCCTGATGTGGCTGAGCTGGTTTTTACATTGTAGTTAGTGGAAAATAGAATAAAAAATGCAGAACCCTTTTTTCCTTATTCATCATTTTATTTTGAATGTTCCTCCTGGTTTTGTTTTATGACTGCTGAAAAGGATTGTAACTGGATTGATGGCTGAATTATAAACTGTATGCAGGGTTTAACAGAAGGAACAAAGATGGATTAAAACCTGAGCAAAGGACTGACAGTGCTGTAGAGCAATAACCTGCATTTGTCTTTGTTTTGTGTAGGAATAAAGATACTACTAGACATATACTCTGAAGTCCGATTGTTCAAACATCAAAATGTATATTTTTTTATACGCGAGGGAAATCTAAATTCCAATAGCTTTGCTGGTTTCATAGTTGTATTTTCAATCAAATTGTTCTTGCCGATTTTCTATATACTGTATCTGGTACATTGCTTCTCTTTCGGTTTGTTTTTTTTAGTGGAGCTAGCCATGATTATGGATCGTCTTTATGGGGGAGTTTGCTACGCAGGCATTGATACAGATCCAGAGCTGAAATACCCAAAAGGTGCCGGACGTGTTGCATTCTCCAATCAGCAGAGTTACATTGCAGCCATCAGTGCTAGATTTGTGCAGCTTCAACATGGAGATATTGATAAACGAGTAAGTGATTATGGTATATTAGTCCTAATTATTGCTGCACTACAGAGGCCATTGGATAAGCCTAACCAACTGCAAAGCCTTTGCTCACAGGCAAAATGCATGCCCGGAGCCAATCGCTTTCCACAGACACTAAAAATGGAGAAAAGGAAATGAGAACAAAGGTCACTTTTTACTGGTCAGCAGCATTTCATTTTTTTCGACTCCACTTTTAATGACTCTGATAAACATGTTGGAAGTGTCCACAGCTCCCAATATGAAGTAAAACTGCGTTATTTCCCAGCAGGCACAGTGGATAATTCCAGAGCCTGTATAAGAACAAAAATTGTATTGAATCAGAATTGTAGGAAATGTTTGAAATCGCCTAACACATCTGCATTTTAACTCCGTTATAATAAAGGCTGCAGTGTTGTGCTACCAAACTCTATAAGCTGCTATAAAAGAACACTTCAGATTCTGTCATGTATTCACCTGATGACGAGGGAGCATGAAGCCGGCTTTCTGGCCAATCAGGAACCCGGGGGACGGGTAATTACTCGCCGCCAGGCTTCCTGATTGGCCAGCTTCCCGACCAATCAGGAAGCCGGGCAGAGAGTCATCACATGCTGCCCAGCTTCCTGATTTGGCCGGGAAGCCGGCTCCATGCTCCCTCATAGAGTGAGGGCAGGAATCATTTTAAGAAATGTATTTTATGGAATGTGCGAGCCTTCAAGAGAGTTTAATTAGGCGTTTACCCAAGACGACTCATAGTGTGTGTCTATAGGACTATGATAGGGATATTAGACTAGAAAAAGCTTTTCTGAGGAAAAGACGCATGTGAATGGTTTGATAATCTGTATGGAGCACTGCTGAATTTGTTGCTATTCTATCAATGAGAAGGTGAGCAGAGTATTGATATGTCTTTATCATGTGATGCAGGTCGAGGTGAAGCCATACGTATTGGATGACCAGATGTGCGATGAATGCCAGGGAGCCCGCTGCAGTGGGAAATTTGCTCCGTTCTTCTGTGCCAATGTCACATGCCTGCAGTATTACTGCGAGTTCTGCTGGGCAAACATCCACTATTTTAAGTGTGTATGTAAATGTAAAAAAAAATATAGGGTTGATTTTTTTCGCTCTCCATTTTGACTTGCAAGAAATAATACCTCAAGATAATCTGATTTTTATTAGCTATTTTTAAACATTTTTAATCATAAGCTGTATTAGCTTTGCTGCTATATAGGTGTTGTGTGTAATGCCACCTATTTATACAGGATTGAAAAGTTTTCAGAAACTGCATTATGGGAAAAATGCAGGCAGCACAATATGGCTCAAACTGCCATAGTTTTAGAATGTGAAATATGCATGTTTACCTACCTGTCTACACCATATGCATGCACTAGAATTATTAACTAACCACAGATACGGTATTGCAGATAAAAGCTAAAAAAAAAAAACAAATTACAAAAAAAAAGCAGAAAAACACAGCTCTTTTTTGAAACTAGGTACAGTAGCATGAGCAAAATTTCAAAAAAAAGATTTTGTAACCAAGCATATTTGCATGACTTGTGACTCAAAGTAAAACAAATGTCCTTAAATGTGTTACAATATGAAGATTTGTTTTAGATTAGTAAGTGCAGCCATTTATTGTCCTGGTCGGTAGTGGACTTCAGTTTACAAGGATTGGATGTAATATTGTAATCCCTGTGCAGTCCCCATCGTGGTGTATGGTTCTGACTTTGTGACGTGAAGTAGTGTAGCGAGAAAAAAAAACTGGAACAAGAAAAAACAAAAAAAAACTAAATATGAAAATTGTTTTGAAGAACACATAGCTTACCCCCTTTTTTTCCAATTTAAATCATTTTTAAATTTAAACTTGGTTTAAAACTTTCTTTCAAACCAAAGATGGCCAGCACACTTGTAATCCGCCACCAAATGTATAACACACAAGCTATTTATTGAAGCCTAGTAGGTATAAATAATATTGCTATTAACGATCATGAAAAATCAAACTGCTTTTGTGCTTTAGAGTAAGATTAAAAGTCAAAATGGAGATGGTTCAACACAGATGGCTAGTTGCATAACGGCTCCTCTGTACGTTCAAGACAACAGTGGCTAAAATGTTATTTTGAAATTTGGTCTTGTCTGCACACAACTTTTTTGTAGCTTTTTCTATTTTTTTATCTTTGTAATAATTTATTTTTTTTGTGGAGCAAGGCTGCTAAACGATCGCACATTCTGTCTTTATTTTTGTCATTCAAAAAAATAATAAATATGTATTTATTTTAGAAGCCAACAGTCAAAGATAATAGTTTAGTCTTGGGATATTTTTAAAAAAAATATTGAATATCATTAAGCCATGAGGTTATGCAACTAGCCTACGACAGATATTTCAGTCTATAAAAAAACAAAATGGACTTTGACTATTTTCAATCCACGAAATGTACCAATTTAACAGAGAAAGAACAGAAATAAGAAGGGTTTTTGTAGATGAACCCACGGGACAATCTTCTGTGTACGATAAAAGAAAAATGCGTTCTTTCTGGTTGTCAGCAACGTGCTTTTTTTGTACTGTACAATATGTGACTCGTCTCACCTTGCTGTTTTTTGTTGTGGTTGTAGTTCACGTTTAAATGTTTGAAATTGTTGCTGTTCTAAAGAGTGTTTCTTTCTAATTTATTTGTTGATGTCCTCTTACCCGTTTCTCTGAGGGACTTCACTTCCTTTCCCCCCGGGTCTGTGTTATCAATAGTATTTTATCAACCTTCACCCTTCTCACCTAACCCCCAAAACAATTCTGACTTTGTTATGCACTATATTTTATATCTTGGAGAGAAATCTTTGACAGTCAGCTGTTTTGACACGTGCTTGTTTTAATTAACATCTTTTTTGCAATATCTCTATTTATTTATTTCTTTTTTTTTTTTTCCTTTGGATTTCCAGGAAAAAAAAACCTAAAGAAATTTACCAATAATTGAAACAAAATTGAGAAGCGCATCTAAAGTGAGAAAACAAATCTATTTGAAATTGTTGAATAGAAAAGACCCCCTTCCTACTAAATTTATAGAAAAAAAAATATTCGAGAGATTGGCAGAAAGTAAATTTAATTGTCATTTCACTTCTGCGTGAGGCGGCTGATCCTGCCTCCAGTTCCAGTCCTGCTTTTTGTGTGTGTATTTGTGTGTAGTAAATTCTTATTTTCTAATTGTTGAACACTGTATTAGATTTTTTATAAATCATATTTATTTTACTATTTTTGTAGAAGATTGCTAGTTGATTTTGATTGTATTTTTATATTTTTAAAGCTTCACTTTTGTTCCCCCAGTGTGCATATTGCTGCCCAAGTGTATGACTATGGAGGAAAAAAAAACTTTAAAATCCACACTTTTTGTTAAGAAGGAAACATTTAGCATTTATATATTTGTGTATGGACAACACTTGATATTGTATCCCTGTTGCATCTGGCTGCACAAAGCCTCTCCTCAAAGATGCTAAAAAAAAAAAAAAACTTGAATATAACACATTTTGGAAGGCTGACTAACCTCGATTCTGTGTTGTGATGTGCAATACTGTTTCTAATATTTGTATAAAAACAGTGTAAACCTTTTTAATGCAAATTTATTTTTTTCATTGCATATTTTGCAGATTTTATCCACAGTGTCATTTTTTACTGTCAGAAAAATACCCCTTTTGTCATTGCAACTATTTTTTAAAATCCAGAAATCTTTGTACTGATGTAAATGATTGTAGTTATTTTGGATAGTGTTTTGCTAACAAAAGGAGAGACTTTTTTCATGCATATTTCTATTTTGTTGGTTTTTGTGTTTTTTTTGTTGGTTTTTTTCCGTTTTTTTTTTTTAGAAGTAATATTCTTGTCATTAATATCATTTTTGTATTTTTATGTGGGAAAAATATAATTTTATGACGCTAATTGCTAAAGTTTTATTTTATTTTTAATTATTTTTGGAGCTGAAATCTTTGTACTATTAAAGCAACTAGTTTCTAATTCAGAGTTTCTGTATAGAATGGCACAAGTGGCTTACGGAGTGTTTGGATTGTAATTATTAAAGGTTCTTTGATATGCAAATTTAGTTGATTTATATTTTTTGGGTATTCTGTAGAATTATAAGCCCACGCTTACGGACACTAGGTGATTGACTTCAGCTTGATTTTTTTTATTTTTTATTTTAATTTTTGAAATATATTAGTTTAAATTTTACTTTAATCTTCCAGGTGTCTAAATCTCCAGTCTGTCTGTTGTACTGGTAATTTAACTCTGTAATGAAATAGTTTGCTGCCAACTATTTATATTAAGTAATTTTTAAATATTTGTAATATTGTTGACTGACTAATAAACTTAAGTTATTGGAATGTCATGTTAAATTGATTCTTTATTGAGTCTTGTCATTTTCTTTTTTTAAATCAGGAACCGGTCAGCCTTTTACAGTTTAAAATGCAAAGTCCTGCCATATAATAGGCATCACAGGGTGATGTGCCAAATGGCCATGAAGACAAATATTGCAACCACTCAGATCAGCTTACCAATAGAAAAAAACAAAAGTGCACATGGGCAGGGCAATCCACAGAACCCAAAAATTCTCCAGTTAAAGGCTCTTTAGCTTATTCTTCAACAATTCTTCATCTCTAAAAGCCTATTTGTGGCTGCCATTGTTGCTTTGGTGGAATAGGGCAGATATAATCTATATTGCCAAAAGTATTGGGTCACCCCTCCAAATCATTGGATTCAGGTGTTCCATTCACCTCCATGGCCACAGGTGTATAAAATCAAGCACCTCGGCATGCAGACGCTTCTACAAACATTTGTGAAAGAATGGGTCGCTCTCAGGCGCTCAGTGAATTCAAGCGTGGTGCCGTGATAGGTTGCCACCTGAGCAATAAGTCCATCCGGGAAATTTCCCTTCTACTTAATATTCCATGGTCACCTGTTAGTGGTATTATAACAAAGTGGAAGCCACTGGGAACAACAGCAACTCAGCCACCTTAAATGACAGAATGGGGTCAGCGCATGCTGAAGCGCACAGTGCGCAGAAGTCGCCAACTGTGTGCAGAGTCAATAGCTACAGACCTCCAAACTTCATGTGGCTTTCAGATTGGCACAACAACAGTGCGCAGAGATCTTCATGAAATGGGTTTCCATGGCCGAGCAGCTGCATCCAAGCCTTACATCACCAAGTGCAATGCAAAGCGTCGGATGCAGTGGCGTAAAGCACGCCGCCACGGCACTTTAGAGAAGCAGGGACATGTTATCTGGATTGACGAATCACGCTTCTCTGTCTGACAATCCGATGGACGTGTCTGGGTTTGGCGGTTGCCAAGAGAACGGTACTTGCCTGACTCCATTGTGCCAAGTGTAAAGTTTGGTGGAGGGGGGATTATGGTGTGGGGTTGTTATTCAGGGGTTGGGCTTGGCCCCTTAGTTCCAGTGAAGGGAACTCTTAAGGCATCAGCATACCAAGACATTTTGGACAATGTCATGCCCCCAACTTTGTGGGAACAGTTTGGGGATGGCCCCTTCCTGTTCCAACATGACTGCGCACCAGTGCACAAAGCAAGGTCCATAAATACATGCATGAGAAAATTTGGGGTGGAGAAACTAGACTGGCCTGCACCTCAACCCGATAGATTGAAAGAATTAGAGTGGAGACTGCGAGCCCGGCCTTCTCCAACATCAGTACCTGACCTCACAAATGCGCTTCTGTAAGAATGGTCCAACATTCCCATAGACACACTCCTAAACCTTGTGGACGCCTTCACAGAAGAGTTGAAGCTGTTATAGCATGAAAGGGTGGACCAACTCAATATTGGACCCTACGAACTAAGACTGGGATGCCATTAAAGCTCATGTGCGTGTAAAGGCAGGCGTCCCAATACTTTTGGTAATATAGTGTATATAATAAACATACACACACAGCTTCTAGGCACTGAGAGGCACTCGAGCAGTGAAGTGCTGTGATTGGAGGAGCAGAGTAGGGGGCGGTGTTGTGGGATTGGTGATGCACTCCACACTTGGCTCACATTTCTCAATCCGCTCGGTGCCTGGAAGCTTGCTGTCATGTATAGGAGATGGCATGCTACAAGGGCTATATATACTTTGCAGCAGCCCTCCGATCATAACACATGGCTTTTTAATGATCGTGAGAGTTCAGTGTGGTGTGTAAATTATCATTTTGTTCCTGGCTTTGTGTGCTGCCTTGATGGATAGTGTGCTGGGGATTTTTTTTGTATTCTATGAACAGCTATGAAATGCTGGTGTCCAGTTGCAGCTCAAAGTGAATGGTGTCCGCATACAAGTGAGGTTGCTGGCATGCTTTTGAAGGTACATGTCCATGAGGATATCATATTTTCCTTGCTGCACTACCGAAGGAAATGATTACAATTTTCTGTCTTTTAAACACTACGGGTTACAGTTACAAATGTTTTAACATTGGATTAAAATTACTTTCACCCAAGATTTACACATTTTTGCAATTAGAAAATATGTAAATACCCCTAAACAATAAATACCTTCGTGTGTCGCGACTTAATGACCAAGGACAAATGTGGGTCCTGAGGCTACACAGGTTGAGGACCACTGTTCTAAAGGACATTGTTAGAGCTACAGTGTGACTTTATTTGGGCAGACTCGTAAAGGTATTTAAAGGTCCATTTCAATAATTTGTGTTGCCAATACTGACTGCATACCAAAAACCCTAGACAGAGTGAGAGTTTCCCAATTGGAGGTGGGCTGGTCATGTGACTTTGACAGGTCACATGACCTGGCTTTCCTCCTGGCTATGTGCGGACATTGTCACTGTGCCCTGAATGGGCAAAGAGACAGTGTTTCTTTTACATGGCAACATATATACTCCATTAACCACCTGCCGTCCGGCCGTTGTAATTAAAAAGCCGGACAGTGGCTTCTTGAATGCGGGTTTGAAATGTAAACAGCCAGCGATTAGGCCGCATGTGTTACATACCACCTTGAACATCGGAGCATGAGCAATAATTGTAGGTCTATCAATCACTGATTATAGTAAATTGATGAACAGTAAAAGCTTTTAATTTTGAGGCTCAACGTGTTTGTTGTCTCAGGGCTCAAAAATTCAAGCCAAGCCTTAAAAGTTACTCGGCAGCAGTTGCCCCACCTAACCCCTAGCCTGCCCCGGACTTAACTCCGCCAGGTCACTGGCGTGACGCAGAGTACAGAGATCAGTAACAACGCGGAGTCCAGAGGCCAGCGGTGTGATGCACAGTACAAAAGTCAGCAGTACAGAGGTCAGTAATGTAACTCGGAGTACAGAGGTCAGCAGTGTAAAGGTGGCCATACACCTTACAACCATCGCACGTCTTTCGTTGTGCGATGGTTGTAAGGTAATTAAAACCTCGTACAATCTGCCCATCTTGGACAGGATGATCGTACTGGCAATCATCGCAAGCCCGCCCCCCTGAGGGGAGGGCTTCTGATGATTGCAGTGCTGAGCGGGCAGTGTGAGCTTGCGCATACCGGCCCGTATGGCATTCGTCTCCCGACCATGCCACCAACCCGATGAAAATCTTACGATTTTCGGCAGGTTTTCAAGCGTGCTCGGAAGACTAATATCGTACGCCCTACAGTAGAAGAAGTCGTGGGATTATCGTACGATGGCGGGATAACCCGCGATTATCATACGATAATCGGCAGGTGTATGGGCACCTTAACACAGAAAAAAACTGACTTACTGTGCACAGTTGATCTGATTCAGGTGCTCTCTTCCTCTCCTGGTGGGAGTGTTGGGAAGGGGGGTGCATCCATCAATGCTGCCTCCATGTAACAAGGTTAAGCCTCCAGCAGCCTCGTTGTGCCTCCCTTTAGGTCCGCACTGCAGAAATGTACAGAGGTCAGCAGGATGACGCACAGTATAGAAATCAGTAATGTAACGAACAGTACAGAGGTCAGCGGTACAGAGGTCAGTAATAAAGTACAGTACAGAGGTCACTAATAACGCACAGTTCAAAGGTCAGCAGTGTAAGGCAGAAATAAAGCACGATACAGAAGTCAGCAATAACGCACAGTGGAGAGGTCAGCGGTGTAAGGCACAGATAACGCACAGTGCAGAGGTCAGCAAGAACGCACAGTGCAGAGGTCCGCAATAACGCACAGTGCAGAGGTCCGCAAGAACGCACAGTGCCGAGGTCAGCAAGAATGCACAGTACAGAGGTCAGCAAGAATGCACAGTGCACATGGCTGACCTGATTCAGGTGTCCTTTTCTTCTCTTGGGGTGGGGCGGGGGGTACAGCGATCTGTCCTCTGTCCGACGTGAAGCCTCCCTTCAGGTCCCGCGCTGTCCTACCAGCCAGCCAATTGGAGCTCTGCAGTCTTCCCCCCAGCCTATGGCAGCTAACGTGGGCGGAGGAAGACTGCAGATGACGGACAACCAGCTGAACTGATTCTCTCTTCGCTTCTCCACCTCGGCCGCTGCAGCTATAGAGCGGCCGAAGAGGAGAAGAGAAGGGGGAGAGCTGAACGCGTGATCGCCGCTGCTGAAGCAGCGGCAGATTCCGCCCTCATCCTGCCGGCGGCGCCCCCGATGAATTTCCACTAGCCCCCATGCAATTTTCACTCACCAATTGCAAGGGGGCGAGTGGAAATTTTGAGCCCTGGTTGTCTGTTTACCCAACGTGACCCCACCTTTTATATTTTACCAAAAAGTTGGGTAATGACTAGGGATGCACCGATATATCGGCTGCCGAAACATATCGGCCGAAAATGGCACTTTTGGCATAATGCCGAAAGAGCCATGTTTCGGCCGATACATCGGCGCATCCCTGGTTTCTTTTCTTCCCACTGAGCGCTGCTCTGTGTTCCAGCGGGGAGAAAAGAAAGTGACAGCCGGCCGAGCGCTGCAGGACGAGAGCGCTGTGAGGGGCCGGCGTCTCTCCTCCCACACCGTTCAGCCGCCTATCACAGTCCAGCAGAGCGGTGTGGGGGCGGAGACAGCGCTGTCACAGGAGGCTGGGCTTTCCTCTCTACACCCCTCGATCAGCCTCTTGTGACAGCATGTCAGAGAGAAAAGCAATGTACACACACTCAGTGATCGCTGACTGTGTGTACATAATTGAGGATATGGTATGTTAACTATATCCTCAATTATGAATGAATGGGAGTGATCTACA